AACAGGATACATTTTTCCACTCTTTACAAATTAAGTTATCTGAATTCACCAAATCAGAAAAACACAAGTTTCCTGCTTGGTTCCAGTGGTGCAGTGGAAGGACAGGCTATAGATTTTCCCGGGAGTGTGAAATAATTCACCCAGCCTGCTCGTTATTCATACAGACAGTGCATTAATAACACGGGACCCTGCGATCTCTTCTTATCTAGGCCGAAGCACAGCTAGAGGGATGAGCAGCTGACTCCTTGGATTTAAAAAAACATTTTTTTCCCCCTGTTTTTTCAAGAAATAAGAATTGATTGAAAGTATTTTCAGACAGTGATGGGAAAAAAAGCTTTCTAGTGATACCGCCTAAAGTACACATTAGATAAATAGAAAACTAATGGCTTTGTGTCTGTGAGCCATTTTCGTTTGATCTAAGCGCTGATAGATACAGGATGATATCTAACAAAGTCTTTACCAAGGACCTGACCCAAAGTCAAGAGGAGTCTCTGGGTTGGCTCAGCAGAGCCTGGAGCTCACAGGCATTCAGGAGAGCCTTGTGCTGGGGCGAGCGGGGACAGCACAGGGACCGATGCCAACACGGGGTCCAACCGCACGGTAGGGGATATTCTGCACCATTAGGTATTGCAGGGGCACAGTGCCCAGGGAGAGCAAGAATGCGACATTAAGATCAGGACGTTGAGAGCCAGGGCACTCACAAGAGTCTTCCTGGCTTGCGTTCAGTGTGCTAGTGCTCTGCTGTCAAAGCCTGGTGTAAACTCAGGGGCTAGTGATGGATAATCCTCAAACCAAATGGCATCTGAAGTGTGCACATGCATGTGGATGATTCATAGATTATGGAATGACTTGAAGCTTGATGTGATCCAAAGACAGTCTGTGAGAATGGGCTATAATGGATTCATTTCATTTTATAGTTCTGCATCATCAAGTGATTTGTCTTTCAGCTGGTATAAAACAGGGCAAGAACAGGCCACAAGAGAGCAACAACACTACTGATTGGGAGCTAATTGTTCAAATCCTGTCCTGCAAATATCAGGGAACTGAATGGTCTTATCCCTCTGCAGAGACTTTTCTTATGGGAAGAATTCAGGGGGAGAGATAGTGCAAAGAAACTGGGAACAGTTTTAATAATACTGTTCTTTTAATAATACCTTCATTTAGCCAATGTTAAAACACTAATTTCTCAGCGCATTTGCAAAGTTGTAAATTCCTGTCAGAAAGTCCCTTTTCGTCCGCTGTCATTAGCCAAACACAGCCCCTGCACACACGCCTTTTTGTGATACAATAACACCATGTTCACTTACACAGCATATATGGAAAATGCTTCTGGAAAAATGTAAAAAGACTAGCAGAAGATTGAATAGAAAGGAACAAAAATTCAACCACAACAGCAAAGTGTATCTGAGAGAATCATTAACCCTCACGGAAGGAAACTTCCATAGAGATGAACAAATTATGCATTATTCAAAGGCCTTGAAGGATACAGAGACATAACCAGCTACTGACTGTAGAGAATGGGTCAGCACCCTTGTAACAAGAGTACCAGGCACATTATTCACAGCAAAATAATGACAGTATGAAAATTACAAATAGCTGTTAGTGTTATTTAATGTCTATAGCTTATGACGTATTAGAGCTCGGAGAATATTACTAGAGTTTTTTTTTTTTCTGTTAATATCTACTTAGCAACCCCATGGGTTCACTTGGCCCCCATATCACTTTGTGGCGGGTGGTAAGGCGACGTGCTCCTGGCATTTGTGCCAATGTCTTGGTGCCCTAACTTGAGAAAGACAAGCTGCTTGTCAACATAGGGAAGAGAGAAGATGTGATTTCAGAAGATCCTGTGCAGTCTGGAGGCAGAGGACATGGGAGCTTCTGGATATGCCCAGTGTTGCTTTTCCAGAAGAAGGGATGCTCTCAGGTTGCTGCAACACAGGCTAAACAAACAAACCCATTTTGGACTTGCTGTGGAGAGGAATGTGGGCAAATGGAGAAAATAACAAGAGACATGACAGAGAGCTCAACAGACTAATGCCCATGGAATGAGCTACAGCCAAGTGACACCCAAGATAAATTGTACAGAGAGAAGGGGAGCAGTCAAAATATTTTTTCAAAAAGAAAGGGACCTTGAAGTAGTGAAGGGAATCATGAAAGCAAACGTGCAACAGAGGAGCCAAAGGACTCTCTTCTCTGTTTCATGATAAGATTTGGCTTTAGTTTCGTTCTTGCTGTGGCTACTACATAATTCATTGGTGATGGAGGCAGGTTTTAGGACCATGTCTGCAGAATGAGTGGCAAGGAATAATTTATAACTTCAGAGGCTGCCAGTCTGGCCTCACTAGACTTTTTAAGATGAAGCCTCAAAGAAAAGAGTTTTTGTTGGACTTGGCAGGAAGTGAGCCTTAGGAATGTATGGCAACTTCCTACCCTGCACAGTGCAAAAAACCCTGTATTTAACTTGAATTTCAGCTCATTCAGAAGAGGGTCTGCATATACGTGTCTTATGTACTACAGTGGTGTGTTACCCCCAAGGAGATTGCAGGACTAGATGATAGAAGAACCATTTATCACCCCTATACCCCAAATACTTACTAAAAAAGGTTAAGATAATCCTTACTTGTGACTCTATTCTCTGTTAAACAAAAGTAAGCTCTTCACACAGTCCCACCTACAGAGTAGTTTTGTCCTGGAGCCAGGGCTGCTAGGTGTGGAGGAGAATGCAATCCCGCCTCTGCAACAGCAACTCAAGCTGTCAAAGCACCAACCTTGATGAAGTGCTTTCTGATGCAATTGGACTGAGACCCAACAAAAGCTTGGTTCTGATCCCATTATATCAGAGTTTGGCCACTGGGATAAATAAGGCAAGACTGAAGTTCAGCTTCTTTTTTTACATACAGCTAAAGAGCCATCAGGTGAGATGGCTTGAGGCAATTATCAACCATAGCTGGGAGTAAAAATACCCAACAAGGAGTCCTGAGGTCCTTGTCACCTCTCAAAAGCTGGGTGGATCTTTTAGCTATGAATGTACTGCTGTACACGAACATCCATGGTATACTCTTTTAAAGAATGCTCAGTATGAGATTAAAAACCTCTTAAACATTTCAGTAGGGTAGGCAAAGAAGGAAAAATGTTTTATATGATCTTTTGAAATGTCCTTATCTACAAAAGAAATAGCAATTCCCAAACCCTTATGTGAATTAAACCCTTCCTGATGTCAGTGGGACTCCCAGACATTGGAATTTTGGGGAGTTTTGCCTTAACAAGGTCAGAGACACTAAATAGGTGAAAATTTCCAAAGCAAAGCATGAGGATGAAACATAGGCCAAGAAAAATGCCCCTTCTATTAATTTTTACAAGTGGCCTATTGGGCTTTTGAATCGTTCACCAGCCATCCTCAAAAGAAGCAATGGTCTGACTACAACAGCTAAACTTGAAAGGAGAAGACGTCCCTTTGTTCTGGCTTGCTGGCTTTGATGTCACTGGGAGTCTTACCGGTGACTTCAATGGGACTAGCTTTGGACTTTCATATTCGCCATTGTTTTATCCTTGCTCCTTTCAAAATTCCAGATCATAACGTTTCTTTTTGTTGTAATCCTGACAGAGCAATTAAGCTCCTGTCCACAGCTGCACCCGACTTTTTTTCTTAACACAGCATTCTTTGAGCTCCTGTTCTCTGAGCAGTATTATGAGATCTGAGTTAATGGTATCCCTCTGCTCTGTCTAGTGGCTCTGTGTTTTTCATGATCTACTGAAGAACGCCAGATTCTTCAAGGCATGTGCACCTGAGCTTTGGTTAAGAACAGCTGCAGGTCTCACCTATGGTTTTATGTGTGTGCTTAACAGAAAAAAGCTCCTCTTTTAATCAGAATAATTAAGCAATAAATAGAATGAAGAATGAGAATTAAAGTGTAATTATTTGCAGGTGCATTCACTGTGCATTTTTAGACATGAGTCTAGAGGCTAAAAGGCATTTTCAGTGTAACAAGCTAAATTACTGCCCTAAATTTTAAAATTTTTAAGGTATTTTAGAGACTATAAAACATTTTATTTCTTAAATATATAAACCAGATCTATAGGCAACAGATATATAAATATAAATCAGATTTATAAATATATAAACCAGACCTACAGGCAACCAGCAAACAACTGGGAGAAGTTAGATTCTCATGAGACCAAGGCTTCCCCAAACTCCCATCTATTTAATGTTCAATGTGAAATCCTCGGAACCTTATCTACAAGGTCCTCTAGTCGCTAATATCCACAGGTTCTCCTGTCTAAGCTTGAGTCAAAACTGGGGCAGACCCTGCTACCTTGCCTAGCGCTTTTGCAGAATGTGATTGAGGAAGTTAACTGGAAAAAAATCATTTTTTTCCAACGTTTGCTTGTACTGCACCCTTTCACCCAAATTTAGGTGGAAGCTGGATGTCAAAGTATAGACGCAAAGAGCAAAAGCTGGGTGCTCCTGAAATCTGCAGCTATGCTGCCACCCCTCGAAGTTGAGCCACTGGAAGGACACAGCAGGGTGTCCACCTCGATCCCAGCTGACACGAACACCAGCAAGGCGGAACAGGTCTTCAGATTGCATGGTAGGAAAACCATTGGCACTAGACATTTATAGGAGCAGCTATAAAATATTCTATATGACAAAGGCAGAGCACAAAAGTGCTTTCTGACTATGTGATGCTGAGCGTTTTGTTTGAGAAGGGTAACCGAAGGGATTAGCTACACTTGCTCCAGATCTCCTTAAATGATTTACATTTACCTAAGCACTTCTAAGCCCTAGTGTGTCTCTCTGCTGCAAGATGTGGCAGTGGCATGACCCATGTGTGTAGAATCATGCACTGAAATAGCAGGGAACGTAACATAGGGGTATGCATATAGCTTTCCTGTTTCATTAAACAGAACACAAACAAAATTCCCATGTATAATGTGTAGACTTCGGGATATTTACCAGATTGCACACATATAGAGACACATATATGGGAGGAGCTACTTGCCATCAACACAGGAAGGTCTGTTTCTTGTAGTCCCAGCCACTTTCCCAGGTAGACAGGAGCATTTTACTGTTTGTGATCTTTCCTCAATTCGATTCTTATTACAGCATCTGTGTGCTGCTATAACTTCACACGTTCCTCCTTCTGACAAAAAGAGAAAAAAAAAAAAAAAAAGACAGAATATTGACACTCTGATTAGGAAGAGCAGCACTGGCTAATCAAAACACCAGGCATGCTACTCTCTGCATCTCTGTGTGGCATCTCTATAGGCAGGATGACAACATTATTTCTCCCATTACATATGATCCTGTCTAAGGCAGGTGCTGGTATACTTAAGTTTTAATAGGAAATGAATATAAATGTCCCTCTAGAGTAGAAACCGTGTTTGTCTTATACTAGAAGCTTCTCCATCATTAGTGGGAGATTTTGGCCTAAAAAATCTATGTCACCATCTGGCCTGAAGAAATGTAGATAACATGCTATAGGAAACCTGCAGTAACCATTGGCTGGCTTTATGCTTGCAATAGTGTAGGTCCCCTCCCTTATTGTGCTTGTACCCTTGTACAAGCACAGAGGCTAAGAGAATCCATCTAGACCTTTTTTTTTTTTTTTGATTCTATTGCTGGTGCTCAGGTCTTGTGCAATCACTGTCAGCCTGTCCAAATTACAGCATAATCCACTAGCACTTCTCTCTGCTGCCTCACTGAATTGGTAGTTTTAAGGCAGGCAACATTCCCATTGTGAGGAAGACCATGAGGCTCCATTTGTTCTTTCCCAAATTGTGCTATATGAACATTTGCAATAGTTTGATTAGGTGGAGAACACAAAGCAGTGATAGACATATAAATGGTGGCTTTGGGTTTGTGAATGTTTGGTGTTTGTCGCATATGCTCTGCACTGATATAAATTTCAAGTGCCTTATTCCCATTCACTTTAACAGTGCAGTGCAAAGAGGCGGGATATCACGGTGGGCTAATGCACTGCCCAGTAATTTCTCGATCCCTGAGTTAAAATAATATTTATCTCATGGTCGCCAAGCATTTAATAGTGCCAGTCTGTTCCCCACAGATATTTGGCTACTTTATGAAATTGTCGCATAAATTTGGCAGGGTTTGTTTAAACTTTGTACAAAACATTATGCACAGTGTATTGAAGAAGGGGGTGTGTAAAACGGCTTGCTGGGTTTGCTAGAAAAGCAACATTACTTTTATTCTACTGTGAAATGCTGAGTGTACTTTGCTTTACTATGGCCATAAGAACAATATTTCTACCTTTTGATTTCACTCGTCCCTTTGAAATAACTTTGTGAGCTCCTGAACACTACAGAAATACAGAGGAATTGGGAAAAAAAATAAGAGGAATTGGGATAATCGTCTCAGTTAAGAATCAGGCCCAAAATGCTTATATTATTCTAAGAAATAATTCCCCACCCAAATCATAATAAAAGCAATGAAAAGATTCCCATTGATTTGATTCTTTTTATGGTCATGCCCAAAGAGAAAAGAGATTTGTTATTTTATCGACTGCAAACTCTACAATAAAGACAATGTATGTAGTAATAGGCATTTCTAATTTTAGGCTATATATACTCTGTGGTATATATTTGTGAATAAGTTAAATGATTCGTTTTCCCTATTAATTTCTTGTATGAGTACTAATAACCACTTTAACTAGTCTTGCTCATTTAAATATCTATTCAAAATAATGGGTTGTGCTTGACGAGCTTTATAGCACCTTTAATTGTTATGTGTAGCTCAAGCTACAGCAATAAGAAATTTAACTCAAAGTGCGTAGTTGTTTAGTGGCAAAACATACTGAGACTAAAAAAGCAATGAAAAAAAAAACACCTTGGTTCCATTATCTAAGTTAAGAATGTTAACAGAGACTTCTTTTGCTGGCATAGAGTATAACTGTAACGCAAACAATAACACAACAATAAAGAAGGATCCTTGTCAATGCTGACATAGAAGAAAAAAACCATCTCACACCAAGAAATTTCTGAATGTTACAGACCCTGTTTTCCTGGCAAAAGAAAATTGTTACGTGAGATCTTTTTTTTTTTTTTTTCATTAAAACACATTAACCTAATTAAACATCATCAGATTGAATCACATGCAGTGGTCGTTGCTGGTACATACATTTTTTCAACCGTGCATTCACATGCCAGACTTTTGGAAAGCCACATGCAAATTGGGAATAGACAGTAGTACCCAGACAAATACAAACGGACACAGTGAGACTAAGGAAAAAAAATATCTATTGAAAGAGCACATTGACTATATTGTTTACATACATATATACCACAAATATGTTGAAGATGAGGCTTGACTTATATCTCAGTACCAGCTGTTTAAATGAGGCAAAAAGGGAAGAAAGAGGAACATGAATCAGTCTTCAGTTTCCATTGGAAAAAAGTTAACATATTCACTCGTACATTACCTTTTCATTCTCTGAATTTTAAAATCCATTTCATATTTTCAAGTTGGTGCTGGGGGAGGGAGCAGTGAAGGAAGGGGCAGGCTGCCAAGAAACGTTCTAACACCAGAATTTGAGGACTTCTCCAGAACCAGAGTTGTCAGTTATTCTTCTAAATTTTGGAAAGATTTAATGAAATGTTCAAGTGCTGGCAGTCCTCAGATGGGAATAAGATAGTTACACTGGAAGCTTAATACATAAGTAAGATATCATTGGTATTTTAATACCAATGCGAAGGATAATTTTACAGAATCATGTCAGGGAGATTTGATATGAAGCTTTAAAAAATTATGCCATGTCTTAATGTTGGAAAGTATCAGTATATATTGTTAAGTTTGCTTTTATTCTGTAACCCCCCACAAAATGCCTAGAATTTGAAAATATATCCATATATTCAAATGCTATTGCTAATATGTAGATTTATGATGATATATCTGCTATGATGTTTTCTCCTAAGTTTCTGCTTCTCAAATGGACACACAAGCAGAACTATAGCTGGAAAAATTCTTGCTGGGCAAAAGAAAACAGAAATATTTTCCCTTTACTCCCATTTGTCTAGCAGCTTGAGCTTCTCAGGTTAAATGCCAGAGATTAACTCCACTGAAAGTAGTCCAGAGGAGACACAACACAGAAGTGTTGGCAACCTTACACATTGCCAAAAGGCAAACTGTTAATAAAACTGTCTTAGTCACTAACAGTAGGCAGGGAATGTTTTGGACCCCCTTGATGCAGAGCATGAAGAGTATGGTTCAAGCAGTGCTGGTATACTATGACATTTGTTCTTTCCTGATGTCGTTTGCTATTTTGGCGTTGAAATTGTGTGTGTCAACTTTTAGTTAAAAGAAAAATAAGAAAGAACTTGTTCACAGGAAGCACTATATTTGGATAATCTGTACAGCTGTTTACCTGTCTAGAACTTGAAATTGCTTACTAAAGATTTACTGGCCTGAGAGGCAAATTCCATTGAGATAATCCTACCAAAAAAGACACAGACAATCCTGCCAGATAGATATAGATTTCAGGCTTCAAAACAGCATTTCAGATTTGGAATATCTCCCCTGTTAGCTACCATTATCCTTATGGAAGTGAGAACAGGTAATGTCGAGAGCAGATATATGACAAATCACAGAAGCGTGGGATAGGTTGAATTATCATAATGCATATAATAACTGCATTTCATAGATATAATAACTTCTAAAAAAAAGAGAAAGTTACAGATAAGATATTTTGTAGGGTTTATCATGAATGGTAGATCAAAATACACATGTTGTATAAATGTATTCTCAAATTTATGGACTTTTAAGAAACATAGATTATTGACTTCAGGCTGTAGCAGTTCCTCAGAATTCATCCTGTCTGCCATAAATGCATATTTAGTGCATATTTAGGGATTGTATAAAAATGTGGATTATTGACGGGATAGGCTGTGAGTGCAGCAAATGTTTAAATCATCATCACTAGAACAGGAAAGGCTTTTTTTTTTTTTTTTTTTTGAACAGTTGAACAGTTTATGGTCTGCTGAGCCATTGTAGCTGCTGGCTTTGTTTCCACAATAACATCCTCATCCAACTCACTGAAGTCAATAGGGGATTTGCCATTCAAATTTAAAAACAGAGAAAAGGGCCCTAAAACCCTCTAAAGTAGAGAGTCTTCTGAATACTTTGTTGACAGTTATGCCTCAGAAAGTGGCAACTTTACCTGCCTGGCAGGAAAAATAGCTCAGCTTTTATAATTTCCATCCAAAACAGAAAACAGAAAAAGATTAGAAAAGGATCAGGACCCTGAAAATTGGCAATGATTTTGTTCTGGCTCCAAGATGCTTCAGTGCTAAATGAAAACGTCCTAACATAGCTTATCTCATTTTCACACCAAACATTAGGAGGATTTGAAGATAGGGAGGGCCAACTTTTGGAGGGCTCATTTCACAGGATGTCTAGAACTTTATGTGAAGGAAATTCATTGTCTACCAAAGCAAGAGGGACAAAATTGGCTTCCAGGAAGGCTCCTGCATTATTAAAGATGGCATCTATTACTTTAGGATTCTCCTCACATTTTCTAGCTTTCCAGAAGTCTTGAAGGCTTTCCAGAAGGCCTGAAATATTGAAGTGTAGAAATTATCCAAGCTTCTTATCATAAAATATGGGGAAAACACCCCACATTTGTGGGCTGTTGCAAATAGAATAATTCTAATTGTAGAACACCAGATTCCTGAAAGCATTTTCAGTTTTATTCCTGTTATAAAGACACCTTTTGTTTACACACCACAGAATGAAACATTTTATCATAACTATGAACCTACTGTGGGTGGTTGTGATTTAAAATAACTCATCAGACACAGGGCCTGGTACATGCCTGTCAGAAGCCAAAAAGCCATCTTCTAGTCATCTCCATTTTTTATATCTCTAGCTGAGAGGTAATAATAAAACTGTATTTTGCACTTCAAAATTATAACTTGCCTCTGTATTCTAGTAGAGCCTGAACTTATCAGTAAACAAACATAAAAAAACAGGCAAACAGCAATACTGATTTGTGTTATACATTGTGGAAGTCATTAACTATGACTCAGGTAGCAAAACTTTTATATTCTCTCTTTGACAGTGATGACAATTTAATAGTATTTGACTCTGCTGAGTTACACAGAGCATCCTGCAGCAATGAGAGAGGTTGTT